CGTACAGACGGAATATGACAGATCCTTTTCCAAATAGATAAAACTCACAACATCAATCATGAAGTAAATAGATAAAATTGCACAGTAATTGCGCAACATGAAGCCGTGTTCATTTCTGAGTTCTGGCAATATAGAATACACTAGAAGTATTGCTACCAAAAATAATATACACACTAAATTCAAGCTGGAATATATATATATATATCACATGAGTTATCGAACCATACTTAGGTATGTTCAAATATTTCCTGACATTTTCAATTAAAGGTTCTGAACAGAAAGCCACTTCAAACCTATTCCCCCTTTCCAAGAAGACGGCGAAGCAATATGATGTCGAATATATCGATTTAAATATTGTTTTATAAGGAGGTAAATAAATAGAACCATTGGCAAAAATCTTATAATCATATTTACCCTTGTATACCATGTAACGTCGCGTTTTCAAGCACGGATCGTGAACGGCTAACTTAAAGAATTCGTCTACTCGCTTAGTTTGTTCTGCGTTGAATCGTTCGTGTATTCGTACACATTCGGAAAAACAGGTTTCATATTTAAATTTGGAATGCAATGGCCGTCATTTACCCTCATGCTATAGCTAAAGGGACAGCAGAACTGAATGCAAGTAATATTATGGCAAGTTTCGTTTGGGACGATGTTACTTTTATAACTATTCTTAGTGGAATTTTTAAAGACTTTATTTGACATGGAATCATTCATTTCAAGCAGGTTTTTATAAACCTTCTGTGACGTAGAGTTATTTTTATGATTGACATTTGTCGAATTGATATGAGAGGATATCAATATTTTGTCATCATTCTCATGATTGTGAGCAGAACGCCTTCTTAGATTATGTGATATCGAATCTTCATCCTTGCGATCGATATTTGTGGAAATAGTGCTAAATGTATATTCCATTTCATTATGTTGCATATTGTCGGTAAACCTTTCATAAAGATTATATCGGAGTGATTTTATCTTGTCACTATAAATTCTTGTAGAATCAGCATATATCTCGTATCGCACTGTCAAATTACGACCTTTGTCTTCGTTGTTGGTATAATTTTACTGAGGTTTCGATGAAGAAATAATGAAGAAAGAAAGCCCGCAACACAGAAACGCGAAATTTTTTACAAACATTATTTCACAAAAAGATATACACTAGAGAAATTAATAGTGAAATCAATCAAAACCTATTGGTACATTCATTATTCCTCATACAAATTTTAGTTTTCAATAATTAAAAGAATCTATATTAATTTTGTGCCTAATTTAGTTTTTGTATTAATTGGTTGAAAGATATGTGCGTAATACACACATATAATAAAATTAAATTATCTCTTCTATTTTGATCTGATTTTATTCTAACAGTATCAACGATTACAATGTAGACGATTACGCGATTAATTTTTAATTATCACATTAGATTTAGTAAAATATAATGTATCACTATATTCGGCTTTGACGTTTTTTTCTTGAAAACAGAGAATATTGCATAAGTAATACGTGCTTGTACGAGAGAGGACATAAAACTACTGAGGATGACGAGTGGTGGATAACTTTACGACAAATACACACACACACACGCACGCACACACACACACCCACACACACCGACCCACAAACACACTCCCGCGCACGCGCGCGCACATACACAGTCTTGTCACTATTATAAAATTATACACTTATAACTTTTAAATATACAAGAAAAACAACGCGGGTATGCTGAATCTTTTGACATTAACTTGATCAATCCAGCAGAAAATCGGCGCTTCTAAAAAGAGCATGTAATAGACATTGTTGAAGCTTTTCCGTGATGGTAATTGGCAGTCCCGATTCATGCTGTGCGCATAAGTTAGACATAATTTTGAATGAGTTACATTTTATGTATTTAATTTTGTGTATTTAATTTTTATGTATTTTATTTTGAATGTATTTAATTTTAATTGTATTACAAAAATATAATATTAGAATATTAATAATGACAATTTAAAATTGATAAGCATAATATAAGGATATAGAATGATTAATATGCTTGCAAATTTCTGTTTTCTGTTCTTCTTTAATTTGAATTTTCTGTGTTAAGTGTTGCAGTGAATAAAGTAAGCTGATATTGCAACAAACTAATGAGATTCTGACTATGAGATTATAAGATTACGACCATCTTATCAAATCGTTGCGCAAATTATAGAATTTTATGTTTGCAAACGCTTTCCGATAATTGTGTGTGCGATATATAATTATTACGCTTCATAATTATTGACAATAATACGTCGAATAATATACTTCTCATGTTTAAATGATAGATATAGATTTTCCTCTCACAGATATACATACATTCTGCTTCGGGAAGGAAAACACGTTTACCAAGTTCTGTCATCATCGAATCATCATATATAGATAAGCTAGTATAAAATCACGCTTATTGATGCAAGCAATTTAAAAAAAATAATATGTATTATAATTTTATTACAGTAAATTAATTATTTGTTACTCTAAGATGTATTACAGATAAGATACATGCCAGCAATTTTGAAAAGTAGCGTCAAGTTTTTTTAACTAAAATTTTTACTTTTTAATTTTTATTATTTTTAATTTTTGCATAAATTTTTGATTTTTAATTTTTTGGAATATATTTTTGTTTGGCGCAACTTTTTGATTTCATTATTTTTTTAGAAGTATTAATTTGACAACACAAGTTTACGCAATATTTGAAACATATACTGTTTTTTTTATTACGCTTTTTACATATCGTTGATTAGGCGCCCTTTTACCTTTTTCTAAAAAATTTTTTTTGGTTTTATTTTTACGTAAGATTAAAGGAGTTACATTTTTTTCAAAAATGCTTGAGAGTTGGGTTGTGTTTTTTACTATGAATTAGTGTAAACATATACAACATATTTTAGATCCGGCCAAATCGAAGAGAACGATGTCTGGTGTTGCCCTTGTAAGTGATAATTACGTAGAAAAACTAAAAGTAAAGATTAAGAACATTTCTAGTAGTGTTCCTGTAATGCTTGAAATTTAATAACAATTAGGAAATATATTCGGCTCTAATATGAAACAAATATAAATATGTAGACTGACAAAGCCGAACGCGATGTTGGTTATTGCGAAAATGAATTTAGCGCTACAATTAAATAATTATGCGTGAGTCATCAATTAAGATATTTTTCCTAAGAAATTTTGACAGTGTATCAGCAAATGCGTGCCTCGATCACAATTATTCAATTACAGCGAAAAAAATACTTATTGCAATAATTGAGGTAACGACATCGCTCTTTTGACTTGTTTAGCAAACATATACTTATATTTGCTTGAAATTTGATTTATTGAAAATTAAATATGTTTTTCCTTCATTGCATATGATCGGCAATAATAGTCGTACGTGTTAAATTGAAATTTGTTGTACAAATACAAAGCGACACTTTTCTTCTTAATTTAGTATTTCATGTGCAAGTTATGTTACATTTTTAAACTTATAACATAAATTTATAGTTGTTTCTTACATATCAAATATTTTATATACATAAATACTATTAGATATTTTGCATTTTATAATGCAGAAATATTTATATTCAAATTTGAGAATTTATTTTTAAGTGCATAGTATATTATTATAAAATGTTCTTAGCATCAAATGTGTGTGTATATGTATATATGAAATAACGCGTTTTTGACGTAGCTTATTTACACTAAACACCTATTTACAAAAAATTGCATTTTTTTAAACAATAAGAACCAAACAATAATTACACATAACAGTCGCAATTGAAAATATTCGTAATTTATTTGTTTGGACCTGTCAGCAGTTTAAAACAAATTTTAATTTTTCTTTATATACTTATATTTATAAATATATAACATATTTTTATTTCAATCAGAATTATTTTTTATAATAATATAGCACTATATATTGCGTATAAATTTCATATAAAAATATTTTTTGAAGAAAAATGTTTACAAAATTTAATTCTAGTAATTCCATTAATTTGACTTAATTATATGCACCAATAAGACAAATTTTCCATGAGCAATTTGATATGAAATCTTTCGAAGAAACCTATACATTACGTAAAATATAAATTTAAATTGTAAATATAAATTGTAAATTTACTTTTAATTTTATATATAAGATTATATTAAATTGCGATTAATAATTAATTGTTGATTTTATAAAACTCTTTTCTTTACACATTGACAACATTTAAATTCAATCCCATTAAACAAATTTTTCGTGTAATATGTTTCTTTTCCGCAAAAAATTGACTTTTCCTGCATGTATTCCTCAAAAGTGGTATTCAAGTCGATGCATTCGTCTTGAATCCGAATCGTTTCAGTAACATCAACTTGATTTTCCTCTTCCATACAAATATGATAAACATGCAGTAATTTTGTCCTATTACTAACAAGAATCTAACAAGTTCAATGTAATAACCATATTTATATAATTGTCCTGGTAAAAACAACCTTGAAATTGTATGCATAAAGCAATTTATACCCATAATGATAAACAACATGGTAAATAACTTTATATATAGATTTAACTTGCAAACAAGTATATATTAATACTTGGTCATTTTTCAATAAAAATAATAAATTCTATCTACCAAATTATTAAGTTAAAAATGATGGAACCAATTGCAATTCTTAAAAGGGGGAAATAAAAAAAATTTATAGAAATACTTCAAAAATGTAATTTTTTAATGTAATTAATATATATTTGTTTATACTCTTTCCTTACGACATTTCGAGCATTACAGATTTTTTAAAAAAGACTCAATGCAAGTTACAGAAATAAATGTTTTTTTTCTCTTATAAATTTATTACACAATATGAGATATAAAAAAGAAAAATATGAGCACAGTAAATATATATATATATATATATATAAAACTTAGTTTTGTTTAGAATAACGCACTGTCATTTGCGATTGGGCTCTTATTGCCTGTATTATATGTTAAATTTATATTTATATTACAGAGCCGTGTTAAACTCTTAATATATATATATTTTTTGCAATTATAATTTTCTCCCCCTTTTACCAGGAATGCGAATCAAGCAAGTGTGTGATGTCGGCAGAGATATTGACAAAAATATATCTGCAGAAACCTCATTAACATAATAAAAAATTATCACAGAGTGACGCAAAATGTGAGAATACACACCATTTCTTATTGTCATTAAATTGCTTGTTTTCCGAATCTGTTAGACTGAAGTTTGTATCCTTTTCGCAGCGTTTAATGTTTCTTGCCGCAGAGATGGATAAGCAAATGCTACTAATAGTACAGACAATTTTATCCAGTAATAATACAATGTAAGTGCTTCCCAATCTGTAAGTATGATATCTCATATACTATTACATATTTTTAAAAAGCGTAGCATTTAATAAAGTTATTTGAAACGTACGAATCTGGACAGAGTACCAGCAATGCCCCTTTTTGAATTCTGGTCTCAAAATATATGACAAATACTCGGAAACATAATCCACAACGATGACACAAACAGTAGCAAGTACAAACGGACATCCGTACGCAAAAATAGCATAATATACCAACTTTTTTTTTCTGATTGGCTGCTGCTTTTTTTTAACGAAGAGAATCTTCTGAAAAATTCAGGTATATATTATATTTAATTATATAAGTGTAGATATAAAAGAAATCTCAATGTAAAATGTTAATATTTGACTTTGATCGAAGCTTTTTTGAAAACCCATTCTACATAATTATAAAAGTTTATTTATATAATACGACATGTGACACTCAATTATGATGAGAAATATAACATTGTATATCATTTAGAAACTATTATATATTTACATAGATATTCTACAGACAAAGATAATTTAAATTTTTATTAGGTTTTTAGGGGCAAAATATATATTTATGTTAAAAAATTATTTTGTATTACTTTATTATACATAAAAAAGATTAACGCAATATATATATCAAGCTTGTAAAATGGAAAAAAATTTTCCAGAAAAGTTTGTTTTATTATTGTAAATTAGATTTTGTTGTAATATTTTATAAATATTTTATAAATTAAATATATAATGTTTATTATTATCTAATATATGCCATTTCTAATTCCAAAAAATTTACGTTATCTTGACAAAATTTTTGAAATATTTCATACTATAAAACAATTATGTAAAGACAAATTAAAATCAGGAGCTAAGAACTAAAGTAAAATATAAAATATTTGGCTATTTACCTGAATGTCCACCACATATTGAAGCTCATAATACTTAACCAGAAGTAACCCGATATATAACAAAAATATGATAAAAAGGCTGAAAAATAAATATAAATGAAGGTTACAATAATAAATATTTTCATCACTAAGCGCGCGTGAAAATGGAAATAATCGAAACTTTGACGTTTTTTATTCTTCACTTTAAAACAGATTTACTACATTCTGCACCAATAGTTTATAACAATATTTATTTAATATTATGAATACTGATACTACCGATATTAAATTAAATAATATTTTCAGACGTAACACTGCAATATTCTAAAACGCAAATTTTATATATATATATATATATATATATATATATATGTATGTATATAATTATATATATGTAGAGGCTAACTCAGGTTAGTTATAAATTAAATGCATTAATATTTAGTTTAATTCATTATTGACAGTTGTATTTTAACAAGCGATATATATATTTAAATAATGGAGAAGTTATATATACTAATATACGGATATACATTATGCTTTACAAATATGTTCTTTGCATTGATTTTATATATTTATGTAATTTATTGTTAGATATACTATACCCATTGTAATACAGACGGGATATAAAACATCCTCTTTAACTGTTGAAAGTCTCACAATATCAAGCATCAATCCGATGGATATAACTGCACTGTAATTGCGCAACATGAAGCCGTGTTCATTTCGGAGTTCTGGCAATATAGAATACACTAGAAATACTGCCACCAAAAATAATATGCACACTAATAGCAAGCTGGAATATATTTAATATATGAGTTATTTAACTGTGTTCAGGCGTGTACTTGTAAGCGTTCCTTTCAAGTTCCGCGAACTGTTCTGAACTGAAAATTGCTTCAAATTTACGCCCTTTTTCCAAGATGACGCCGAGGCAATATGATGTCGATTTAAATAATGTTACATAATAAGGTACATAAAAAGAACCATTGGCAAAAATTTTATAATCGTAGTGATGACCGTCGGGTACCAGGTAACATTCCGATTCTAAGCACTTATTGTAGACGGTTAACTGAAAGAATTCGTTCACTCGTCCACTTTCGTTGTGCGTTGAATCGTTTGTGTATTCATACACATCCGGAAAAACATATTCCATTTCTTGTGGAATACATGTGGTGTCATTCCATCTCATGATATTGCCAAGAGGACAGCAGAACTGAATACAAGTTATATTATGACAAGTTTTGTATGGGACGATGTTACTTTTATAACTATTTTTAGTGGAATTTTCAAAGATTTTATTCGGCATGGAATAATTCTTTTCAATCAAATTTTCATAAACCTTCTGTGACGTAGAGTTTTCTTTATGATTGACATTTGTCGAATTGTTGTGAGAGTGTTTCAATATTTTGTCATCATTTTTTTGATTGTGGGCAAAACGCCTTCTTAATTTATGTAGTATCGAATCAACATCTTCGCGATCGATATTCGTGGAAATAGTGCTTAATTTATATTCCATTTCATTATATTGCGTATCGTCGGTAAACCTTTCATACAAATCATATCGCAGTGGTTTTATCTCGTCGCTATAAATTGTTGTAGAATCTGCATATATCTCGTATCGTACTGTCAAATTAGGACCTTCATTTTCGTCGTTGGTGTAATTTTGCTGAGATTTCGATGACGAAATGATGAGGAGAAAAAGCTCACAACACAGAACCGCGAAATTTTGTACAAACATTATTTCACAAAGGATTCACTACAGAAATTAGATAGAGAAATCAATCAAACTTATTGCTACATTCATTATTTCTCATATAAATTTTAATTTTCAATAATTAAAAAATGTATATTTATTTTGTGCTTACAATAGCTTTTGTATTTAGTAAATGAAAGATATGTGTCAAGTGCGTTATGTACACATATAATCGAATTGAATAATCTTTTTTTTGTTTTTTTTTATAAAATTTTCAAAATGTTGATCTGATTTTATACTAACACTGGAAATGTAGACAATTCCACTGTTAATTTTTAATTATCACACTAATTTAGTAAAATATATATAATGTATCACTGTATTCGACTTTGACGTTTCTTTCTTGAAAGAAGACAATATTGCATAAGTTAATACGTGTCTGTGCAAGAGAGGAAATGGAACTACCGAGCATGACGAGTTGTGGATAACTTTGCAAGGAAACACACACACACACAGTTTTGTTTACTATTATAGAATCATGTATACATTTATTATTTTTAATTATGCAAGAAAACCAAAGAACATATGTTGGAACTTCTGACGTTAGTTTGATCAATCCAGCATGGAATCCGCCCTTTAAAAAATGCATTTTATTGACACTGTTGTCGTTTTTCCGTGATTGACTGTCTCGATTCTCGTTGTGCGCATATGTTAGACATAATGTTGCATCTAATTGTATAAAATTACAAAAATATAAAATTAAAATATAAATAATGACAATTTGAAATTGATAAATAAAAATGAGACTACAAAATGGTTAATATGCTTGCAGATTTTTGTTTTTTGTTTCTTTGTTAAATTTGAATTTTTAATGCTAAGTGTCGTAATAATTAAAGAATTAGCTAATATTCCAACAAATTAATGAGATTCTGACAATGAGATAATGAGATTACGATCATCTCTTAAGATTGTTGCGCAAATTTTTTAGATTTCTTGTTGTTTGCAAACGCTTTTCTATAATTGTGTATGCGATGTATAATTATTATGTTTCATAATTGCTGAATACGTTGAAAAATATACTTTGCATATATATATTTAATAATAGATGTAGATTTTCTTCTCACAGAAATACATGCACTTTCTGCTTCAAAAAAGAACATACGTTCAGCGAGTACTATTGTCGTCGAATCATCGTATACAATATAAAATATCGTATATAATGTATAATCATTGTATATAATATAAAAAAGCTAGTGTAAAATCACGCTTAATGCAAGCAATTAAAAAAATATTTATTATATATTAAAATTTTTTTAGCAGTAAATGAATTATTTGTTACTCTAATATATATTACAAATAGAATACATCGCAGCAATTTTGAAAGTATATCGCCAAGATTTTTAACTAAAATTTTTTATATATTTCATTTTGTATTAATTTCTAATTTCTGATTACAATATTTTTTTAGAAATATTAATTTTACAACATAAGTTTACAGTACTTTGAAACATACTGTTTTTTCTATTATACTATTTTGAATTTGGTGCTTTTTTACTTTTTTCTAAAAAAAGATCTTTTTTAGATTCATTTCTACGTAAGATTAATGGATCAGTTTTTCATGAATGCTTGAGTGTTGAGTCATATTATTATAAATAAATATGAACATAAGATCTTAATATATTAATAAATAAACAATAGGTAAATAAGGTGTTTTAGACGAGCGGTTATTAAATGACAATAATACAAAGGTATGTTTAAATCATGAAATTTCTATTATTTATTACATAGATGAGACGTTTCGAGCGCTCACTTGCGTCTTATCAATCATATTAATTAAACATAATAAAAAACCAATACAATAAAACGGCGAATCAATAGTCATGTACTAGACGAAATCTTCATAATTAATATTTAATATCCACGTGTTTCATATATGCAAATGATATTAAAAAATGTATTTGTATATAATGCTGTCAATGGAATACTTGGTTAATATTGAATTACCGCTTGAGGATTTTATGATGTTTAATTGTACTGTATTCGTTGTTAAACTAATATGATTATTATACCATGTATTATTATACCATGGATTAGTGTGAATAGGACTACAACATATTTTAGATTTAGTCAAATCGGAGGGAATAATGTCGGGTGTTCCCTTATAAGTGATAATTACGTAGAAAAACTAAAAGAAATGACGAAGAACATTTCTGGTATTTTTTCTGTAATGCTTAAAATTTATTAACTAAATTTATAAAAAAATACATATACTATAAAATATAGGCTGACAAAGCCGAACGCGATGTGGGTTGCGAAAATCAATTTAGCGATACAATTAAATGATTGTGCGTGAGCCATTAATCGAAATACAATTCCTAAAAAGTGTTTACACTGTAAAGATCAGCAAATTCGTGCCTCAAGCACTATTATTCAATTGTAGCAAAAAAAAATAATTTTTGCAATAATCGACGCAACAACATCGCGTTCGGCTCGTTTAGTCAACATGTTTATATTTTCTTGAAATTTAGATTTGTTGAAAATTAAATATGTTCTGTCCTCATTGCATGTAATTGGCAATAATAATTGTACATGTAAAATTGAAATTTATTGCAAATATACAAAACGACACTTTTCTTCTTAACTTACTAGTTCATGTGCATGTCATGTTACATTTTTTAAATTTATAACATAAATTTATAATTGTTTTTTACATATCAAAAATATTTTTATTAATAAGAAATGTCTAAGAGCCATACGCGGTTTCTTGCGTACATCTCCAACAAAAATTAATTTTTCGTTGGAAATAAACGAAAATGTGCACAAGTCACATATTATTCTTGGTTTTCTACCAAGACTTTACATGAAATATCTTATATTTGAGATTTAATTTCATAAACCCCTGTACCCCCCCTAAAGAAATAAAGAAATAAACGCGAGAGAAAAATATAGATCCGAAAGTCGCTAAAAATATTTTTATACATAATCGCTATTAGATATTCTGCATTTTATAATACAGAAATATTAATAAACAAATTCGAGAATTTACTCTCAAGTGCATAATATTATAATAAAATATTCTTAGCATCGAATGTGAGTATGTGTATATATAAACACGCTTTTGTCATAGCTCAGCTACATTGAACATCTATTACAAAAAATACCATTTTTAAACAATAATTACATTTAACACAGTCGCGTTTGAAAATATTCGTAATTTATTTGTATGGACCATGTAGGCACCAATTTAAAATAAATTTTAATTTGCCTTTATATACATACATATACTTATAAATATATAATATATTTTTATATTTGAATCAAAAATCTTTTTTATAATAATATAGCATAATATATTGTATAGCTTTCATACAAAATTATTTTTTAAAGGAAAACGTTTACAAAATTTAACCATAGATTTGACTTAATTATATGTATCGATAAGACAAATTTTTCCTTTGAAATTTTAAATTAAATCTTTTAAAGAAACCAAAACATCATGTAAAATATAACATTGTCAATAGTAATTTTAAGATAATATTAAATTGCGATTAAACGTTGATTTTTGATATGTGATAAAACTCTTTTCTTTACACACTGACAACATTTGAATTCAATCCCATTAGACAAATTTTTCGTGTGATATTTTTCTTTTCCGCAAAAGATTGACTTTTCCTGCATGGATTCCTCAAAAGTGGTATTCAAGTCGAAGCATTCGTCTTGAATCCGAATCGTTTCAGTAACATCAACTTGATTTTCTTCCTCCATACAAATATGATAAAAACGAAGAAATTCTCTACTACATTTAACAAAACACTAACAATATCAATGTAATAACTAAAATTATATAATTGTACCGCAAAGAACCTTAAAATCGTATACAGAAACCAATTTATACCCGCAAAGATAAACGACACGATAAATAACTTTATATATAGATTCAACCTGCAAAAAGAAATATATATTAGTCACCTTTCAAAAAAAAAATAAATTCTATCTGTCAAATTATTAAATTGAAAAGTGATGAAATAAATTACAATTCTTAAAAAAAGGGGGAAATGAGTGTAGGCGTGCGATTATTTTCAAGAGTATATATCACGCCATCATATTATTGTCGCCTTGTCGTCTCGTCCTCGTGTTCGATTATTTATTTATATTTATGTTACTGTGTGCGAATAATAAGAGATTTGATCCGTGTAGAAAATAACAGATGCGACCGTTCAAAAACAAACCAGAGCACGGGTTAGTTGTCGCTTAGCGATTGGCTCAAGTATGATAGGAAGGGATTATTAGGGAAAATTAGGAGCGATATAAGTATCAGCGATTTTTGGTAGAAGGACACATAACTCTCTCTTTTTGGACGCACTTTTACGCTTCATCACGGACTCTCAGACACTCTCTCTTATACGATCGGACAGAGGACCGCCGAGGTCGGAGCGACGGCGAAGAGACAAGGGAACATTTCGTATTTGGACGACAAGAGGCACCTTGATTTCGCAATAAATACATTATACTCTAATAATAATTCCTTATTTGATCCGGATTCTTTCCTGACTCTCATTTATCCGGTCTTCTCCTACATATATCTATTTAAAACACAATCGTTCACCGTCTACATGAGAAACAGTTATTTAAAGAAATACTATCAAAATTTTGCGGAAATTCAAATAAGCGTACTTCCGTGAAAAATTATCGTATTTGAAATTTTTTTTGTTTTAAAGAGTAAAGTCTCTACTTTAAAAAACTTTTGTTCGATTTTGATTTCATCCTCTCTCCCTTACTCCGCCCCTTTAAAAAGTAAGGTGTTTTTGTCATCAAACAATTAGAAGACATTTACGTGAACGTGGTTTAAGATCGCGAGTTCGACATTTTTCTCTCCAAATGTATGGATCATACATTTTTTCCAACCATCAGAAGAGGAAAATGTCAAACTCGCGATCTTAAACTACGTTCACGTAAACGTCTTCTAATTGTTTGATCACTGATTCTGTGAAGATCTTCATTATCAATTTGTCACGCAATCATCGTTGGTGCGCGTCGGATCATCGCTAAAGCTGGTGATAATTGCACAAAAATGCATAGATAATTTTGATATGCTGTAACTCTGCCAAAAAGAATCATACAAACTTTGTTTTTTTTTTAATTTGTAGGAAAAAGTTCATATTCTATGAAAATTTGGATAAGATTTGCGAAAAATTTATTTCACTCCGTAGATTTCGTCAAATTATGCAATTTTTTGAAATAATGCATTCCTTACTTTTTAAAGGGTGGAGACAGGGAGAGAGGATAAAATCAAAATCCAATAAAAATTTCTTAAAATTAAGTTTTTTAAAAGACTGCGCCCTTTAAAACAAAAAGAATTTGTTCAAATACGATAATTTTTCGCGGAGATACGGTTACTTAAATTTGCGCGTGATATTAAAATGCGTGTTGTGATAATTTTTTTGACCAGTGTATATATTTTGCAATTTTTATCTTCCTTTTCACCAGGAATGCGAATCAAGCGAGTATGTGATGATGTCAGCAGAGATATTGGCAAAAATATATCTTCATAAATCTCATTAACTTAATAAAAGATTATTACAGAGTGATGCAAAATGTGAGAATACACACCATTTCTTATTGTTATTATACTGCTTGCTTTCCGAATCTGTTAGACTGAAGTTTGTATCCTTTTCGTAACGTTTGATGTTCCTTGCCGCAGAGATGGATAAGCAAATGCTACTAATAATACAGACAGTTGCGATCCAGTAATTATATAATATAAATGCTTCCAAATCTGTAAGTATGATATCTCATATACTGTTATATACTTTTAAAAGTATATTTAGCGTAGCATTTAATAAAGTTATTTGAGACGTACGATTCGCAGGGTACCAGCAAAATCCTATTTTGAATTCTGGTCTCAAAATATATGGTAAATACTCGGAAACATAATCCACAACGATGACACAAACAATAGCAAGTACAAATGGACATCCGTACGCAAAAATAGCATAATATACCAACGTTTTTTTCCCTGGTTGTCTGACGTTTCTTTGTAACGAAGAGAATCCTCTGCAATTTATGTAGGTATATATTATATTATATAAGTGTTTCATATAAATAACAAATATTTCATTATATAAGTGTAGATAAAAAGAAAATCTCAATGTAAAATGTTAATGTTTGACTTTGACCGAAGTATTCTCGAAAACTCATTCTACGCAATTATAAAAGTATATTTATAGAATTCGACTTGTGACACTCAATTATGATGAGAAATATAACATTGTATAACATTTAAAAATTATTATATATTTACATTTATTAGATATTCCACAGACAAAGGTACCGTATAATTAAAATATTTATTTAGTTTCCAAAGGCAAAAAAACATATATATACATATATATATATATATATATGTGTTAAAAATTATCGTGTATTACCTTATTTTATACATAAAACAGATCAACGCAATATAAATATCAAGCTTGTAAAATGAAAAAAAAAACATTCCAGACAAGTTTATTTCATTTATTGCGAATTAGGTTACGTTGTGATATTTCACAAATATTTTATTAATTAAATATATAATGTTTATTATATACATGCCATTTATATTTTCAAAAATTTATGTTATCTCACAAAATTTTTGGTTTATTTAATACTATAAAGCAATTATGTATAGACAAATTAAAATCAGAAGCCAAGAACTAAAGTACAATATAAAATACTTGGCTATTTACCTGAAAGTCCGCCACATATTAAAGCTCATTGTACTTAGCCAGAATAAACCAGACAAATTACAAAAATATTCCATAAAGGCTGAAAATGAATATAAATAAAGGCTACAATAATAAATATCATCTTCATCACTAAGCGCGCGTGAAAATGGAAAAAATCGGAAGTTTTACGTTTTTGATTCTTTACTTTAAAACAGATTTTTTACATTCTGTATAAAAAATTTATAAAAATATTTATTATTATGAACAGTGATACTACCAATATTAATGTGAATAATATTTCAAGACATAACACTGCAAAATTCTATAACGCAACATTTTATATATATACATATATGTTAGGGCAAACTCAGATCAAGTGTAATATACAATATATTTAAATGTATTAAATTTTAATTTATTTTATTATCGACAGTTATATTTTAACAAGTGTTATATATATATATATATATTCAAATAATGAAAAAGATATACTAAGATGCGGATATACGTTATGCTTGACAAATATATTCTGCACTGATTTTATATATTTATGTAATTTATTGTTACATATACTGTACCAATTGTAATACAGATGGGATATGACATATCTTCTTTGACATTTAAAACTCTCACAATTTCAATCATCAATGCGATGGATGTAACTGCACTGTAATTGCGCAACATAAAGCCGTGTTCATTTCGGAGTTCTGGCAATATGGAATACACTAGAAATACTACCATCAAAAATAATATACACACTAAAGTCAAGCTGGAATATATTTTTATTGTATGAGTTATCCAACTATACTCAGGTGTGTACTTCAATTTGTTCCTGAAAATTTCATTATGAGTTTCCGAACAGAAGTCACTTCAAACCTATTCCCCTTTCCAAGAAGACGGTGAGGCAGTATGATTTCGATTTAAATAATATTTTATAAGAAGATAAATAAATAGAACCATTAACTAAAATTTTATAATTGTACGGACGATCGCGTACTATGTAACGTTGCGTTTTTAAGCACGGATCGTAGATGGCTAAGTAAAAGAATTCGTTTACTTGCTTACTTTCGTTCTGCGTTAAATCGTTTGTGTATTCGTACACATTCGGAAAAACATATTTTATTCTATTGGAATACATTTAGAGTCATTCCATCTCATGATACTACCAAGAGGACAGCAGAACTGAATGCAAGTTATATTATGACAAGTTTCGTATGGGACGATGTTACTTTCATAACTATTCTTAGTGGAATTTTCAAAGACTTTATTCGACATGGAATCATTCATTTCAAGCAGGTTTTCATAAACCTTTTGTGACGCAGAGTTATTTTATGATTAACATTTGTCGAATTGATGTGAGAGGATATCAATATTTTGTCATCATTCTTATGATTGTGAGCAGAACGTCTTCTTAGATTATGTATTATCGAATCTTCATCCTTGCGATTGATATTTGTGGAAATAGTGCTAAATTCATATTCCATTTCATTATGTTGCATATTGTCGGTAAACCTTTCATACAGATTATATCGGAGTGATTTTATCTTGTCACTATAAATTGTTGTAGAATCCGCATATATCTCGTATCGCACTGTCAAATTACGACCTTTGTCTTCGTTGTTGGTATAATTTTGCTGAGATTTCGATGAAGAAATAATGAGGAGAAAAAACCCGCAACACAGAAACGCGAAACTTTTTACAAACATTATTTCACAAAAAGATATACACTAGAGAAATTATTAGTGAAATCAATCAAAACCTATTGGTACATTCATTATTTCTCATACAAATTTTAGTTTTCAATAATAAAAAGAATCTATATTAATTTTGTGCCTAATTTATATAGTTTTTGTATTAATTAGTTGAAAGATATGTGCGTAATACACACATATAATAAAATTAAATTATCTCTTCCATTTTGATCTGATTTTATTCTAACAATGTCAACAATTACAATGTAGACGATTACGCGATTAATTTTTAATTATCACACTAGATTTAGTAAAATATAATGTATCACTATATTCGGCTTTGACGTTTCTTTCTTGAAAACAGAGAATATTGCATAAGTAATACGTGCTTGTACGAGAGAAGACATGAAACTACCGAGGATGACGAGTGGTGGATAACTTTACGACAAACACACACACACACACACACGCGCGCGCGCATACATACACAGTCTTGTCTACTATTATAAAATTATACACTTATAACTCTTAAATATACAAGGTAAACAACGCGGGTATGCTGAATCTTCTGACGTTAGTTTGATCAGTTCAGCAGAAAATCGGCGCTTCTAATAAAAGCATGTAATAGACATTGTTGTAGCTTTTCCGTGATGCTAATTGGCAGTCCCGATTCACGCTGTGCGCATAAGTTAGACATAATTTTGAATGAGTTACATTTTATGTATTTAATTGTGTGTATTTAATTTTTATGTATTTTATTTCGAATGTATTTAATTTTAATTGTATTACAAAAATATAATATTAGAATATTAATAATGACAATTTAAAATTGATAAGCACAAAATAAGGATATAGAATGATTAATATGCTTGCAAATTTCTGTTTTCTGTTCTCTTTTAATTTGAATTTTCTGTGTTAAGTGTTGCAGTGAATAAAGTAAGTTGATATTGCAACAAACTAATGAGATTCTGACTATGAGATTATAAGATTACGACCATCTTATGAAATTGTTGCGTAAATTATAAAATTTTTTTGTTTGCAAACACTTTCCGATAATTGTATGTGCGATGTATAATTATTACGCTTCATAATTGCTGACAATATTACGTCGAATAATATACTTCTCATGTTTAAATGATAGATATAGATATTCCTCTCACAGATATACATACATTCTGCTTCGGGAAGGAAAACACGTTTACCAAGTTCTGTCATCATCAAATTATCATATATAGATAAGCTAGTATAAAATCACGCTTATTGATGCAAGCAATTTAAAAAAAAATATTATGTATTATAATTTTATTACAGTAAATTAATTATTTGTTACTCTAAGATGTATTACAGATAAGATACATTCCAGCAATTAGGAAAAGTAGCGTCAAGTTCTTTTAACTAAAATTTTTATTTTTTTAATTTTTATTATATTTAATTTTTGATTTGAAATTTTTTGGAATATATTTTTTGTTTGACGCAACTTTTTTATTTTATTTTTTTTTTATAAGTATTAATTTGACGACACAAGTTTACGTAATACTTTGAAACATACTGTTTTTTTTATTACGCTTTTTTACGTATCGTTAATCTAAGCGGCCTTTTACCTTTTTCCAAAAAAATTTTTTTAGTTTTATTTTTACGTAAGATTAAAGAAGTTATATTTTTTTCAAAAATGCTTGAAAGTTGTGTTTTTTTTACTATGAATTAGTGTGACCATATACAACATATTTTAGATTCGGCCAAATCGGAGAGAACGATGTCTGGTGTTGCCCTTGTAAGTGATAATTACGTAGAAAAACTAAAAGTAGAGATTAAGAACATTTCTGGTAGTGTTCCTTTAATGCTTGAAATTTAATAACAATTATGAATTATATTCGGCTCTAATATGAAACAAATATAAATATGTAGACTGACAAAGCCGAACGCGATGTGGATTATTGCGAAAATCAATTTAGCGCTACAATTAAATAATTGTGCGTGAGCCATCAATTGAGATACAATTCCTAAGAAATCTTGACAGTGTACCAGCAAATGCGTGCCTCGATCACAATTATTCAATTACAGCGAAAAAAATACTTATTGCAATAATTGAGGTAACGACATCGCTCCTTTGACTTGTTTAGCGAACATATATTTATATTTGCTTGAAATTTAATTTATTGAAAATTAAATATGTTTTTTCTTCATTGCATATAATCGGCAATAATAGTCGTACATGTTAAATTGAAATTTGTTGTAGAAATACAAAGCGACACTTTTCTTCTTAATTTAGTATTTCACGTGCAAGTTATGTTACATTTTTAAACTTATAACATAAATTTATAGTTGCTTCTTACATATCAAATATTTTATATACATAATTACTATTAGATATTTTGCATTTTATAATGCTGAAATATTTATATTCAAATTCAAGAATTTATTCTTAAGTGCATAATATATTATTATAAAATGTTCTTAGCATCAAACGTGTGTGTATAAGTATATATGAAAAAACGCGTTTTTGACATAGCTTATTTACACTAAACACTTATTTACAAAAAATTCCATTTTATTAAACAGTAAAAACCAAACAATAATTACACATAACAGTCGCAATTGAAAATATTCGTAATTTATTTGTTTGGACCATGTCAGCAGTTTAAAACAAATTTTAATTTTACTTTATATACTTATATTTATAAATATATAACATATTTTTATTTCAATCAGAATTATTTTTTATGATAATATAACATTATATATTGCGTATAAATTTCATATAAAAATATTTTTTGAAGAAAAATGTTTACAAAATTTAATTCTAGTAATTCCATTAATTTGACTTAATTATATGCACCAATAAGACAAATTTTCCATGTGCAATTTGAAATGAAATCCTTCGAAGAAACTTATACATTACGTAAAATATAAATTTAAATTGTAAATATAAATTGTTAATTTACTTTTAATTTTATATATAAGATTATATTAAATTGCGATTAATAATTAATTGTTGATTTTTGATTTTATAAAACTGTTTTTTTTTTACACATTGACAACATTTAAATTCAATCCCATTAGACAAATTTTTCGTGTGATTTTTTTTTTTCCGCAAAAAATTGACTTTTCCTGCACGGATTCTTCAAAAGTGGTATTCAAGTCAATGCATTCGTCTTGAATCCGAATCGTTTCAGTAACATCAACTTGATATTTTTTTTCCATACAAATGTGATAAACATGAAGAAATGTTTTACTACACTTAACAAGTTATTAAAAATTTCAATGTAATAACTGTATTTATATAATTGTGCATTATATAACAACCTTGAAATTGTATACATAGACCAATTTATACCCATAATGATAAACAACACGATAAATAACTTTATATATAGATTTAACCTGCAAACAAGTATATATTAATATTTGGTCATTTTTCAATAAAAATAATAAATTCTATCTACCAAATTATTAAGTTAAAAAATGATGGAACCAATTGCAATTTATAAAAGGGGGAAATAAAAAAAAAATTTATAGAAATACTTAAAAATGTAATTTTTTAATGTAATTAATATATATTCGTTTATACTCTTTCCTTGCGACATTTCGAGCATTACAGATTTTTTAAAAAAGACTCAATGCAAGTTACAAAATAAATGTTTTTTTTCTCTTATAAATTTATTACACAATATGAGATATAAAAAAGAAAAATATAAGCACAGTAAAATATATATATTTATAGATATATATATCTTTTGCAATTATAATTTTCTCCTCCTTTTACCAGGAATGCAAATCAAGCAAGCATATGATGTCGGCAGAGATATTGACAAAAATATATGTGCAGAAATCTTATTAACATAATAAAAAATTATGACAGAGTGATGCAAAGTATGAGAATACACACCATTTCTTATTGTCATTAAATTGTTTGCTTTCCGAATCTGTTAGACTGAAGTTTGTATCTTTTTCGCAGCGTTTAATGTTCCTCGCCGCAGAGATGGATAAGCAAATGCTACTAATAACACAGACAGTCATGATCCAGGAATAATACAATGTAAGTGCTACCCAATCTGTAAATATGATATCTTATATACTATTACATATTTTTTAAATGCGTAGCATTTAATAAAGTTATCTGAGACGTACGTTCCACAAAGTACCAGCAATTCCTATTTTTGAATTCTGGTCTCAAAATTATTGGAATATACTCGGAAACATAATCCACAACGATGACACAAATAATAGCAAGTACAAATGGACATCCGTACGCAAAAATAGCATAATATACCAACTTTTTTTTTCTGATTGGCTGCTGCTTTTTTGTAACAAAGAGAATCTTCTGAAAAAATTTAGGTATATATTATATTTAATTATATAAGTGTAAATATAAAAGAAATCTCAATGTAAAATGTTAATATTTGACTTTGATCGAAGCTTTCTCGAGAACTCATTCTACACAATTATAAAAGTTTATTTATATAATACGACATGTGACACTCAATTATGATGAGAAATATAACATTGTATATCATTTAGAAACTACTATATATTTACATAGATATTTTACAGATAAAGATAATTTAAATTTTTATTAAGTTTATAGGGACAAAATATATATTTATGTTAAAAAATTATTTTGTATTACTTTATTATACATAAAAAAGATTAACGCAATAATATCAAGCTTGTAAAATGGAAAAAAAGATTTCCAAAAAGTTTGTTTTATTATTGTGAATTAGATTTTGTTGTAATATTTTATAAATATTTTATAAATTATATATATAATGTTTATTATCTAATATATGCCATTTCTAATTCCAAAAAATTTACGTTATCTTGACAAAATTTTTGATATATTTCATACTATAAAACAATTATGTAAAGACAAATTAAAATGAGCTAAGAACTAAAGTAAAATATAAAATATTTGGCTATTTACCTGAATGTCCGCCACATATTAAAGCTCATAATACTTAGCCAGAAGTAACTCGATATAATACAAAGATATTCTAAAAAGGCTGAAAAATGAATAGAAATAATAACTACAATAATAAATATTATTTTCATCACTAAGCGCGCGTGAAAATGGAAATAATCGAAATTTTGACGTTTTTTATTTTCCACTTTAAAACAGATTTACTACATTCTGCACCAATAATTTATAACAATATTTATTTATTATTATGAATACTGATACTACCAATATTAAATTAAATAATATTTCAATACGTAACACTGCAATATTCTAAAACGCAAATTTTATATATATATATATATATATATATATATATATATAAATAAATAAATATATATATGTATGTACAGGAGGTAGACAAAATAATGTGAATACCTGTGAAAGAGGGGTATTTATATTTGTTTGTTAATAAGATGGGCTACCATTTGCTTTTTTTCTAATTGGAATGTTGTCTCATTCTTGTATCTGCTAATTGCTCTGTTGAAGGAGAAAATATGTTTCTCACTTTTTCAAAATTGCCTACTGTCCGATGATATTAAGCTATTAAGATGTTTAAATATTTTTGCTGGCTAGCACAATTACCAAATTTGAATATCATTGAGCCAATTAAACGTTTTTTCAATCTCTTCTCCAAAACTGCCTATAGTGGTTCGATGATAATTGGGTTTGGTAATTATGCTGGCCAGGGAGAGTGTTTGGGCATTTTAATGGCTTAATATCATCGAACTATGAACAGTTTCGAAGAAGATTGAGAAGCGGATTTCCTCTTTCAACATCTATCTCTAAGGCAATTGGCGGATGGAAGAATGAGATAACATTGGAAAGTGGGCAAATGGTGGCCCAACATTTAATTAATGTACATATATAAATACCTCTCTTTCACAGGTGTTCACATTATTTTGTCTACCCCCTGTATGTATTTATATATATGTAAAGGCGAACTCAGGTTAGTTTTAATAAAATGCATTAAATTTTAGTTTAATTCATTATTGACAGTTGCATTTTAACAAGCGATATATATATTCAAATAATGCAAAAGTAATATATACTAATATGCGGATATACATTATGCTTTACAAATATGTTCTATGCATTGATTTTATATATTTATGTAATTTATTGTTAGATATACTGTACCAATTGTAATACAGGCGGGATATAAAAAACCCTTTTTTATATTTGAAAGTCTCACATTATCAATCATCAATTGGATGGATGTAACTGCACTATAATTGCGCAACATGAAGCCGTGTTCATTTCGAAGTTCTGGCAATATGGAATACACTAGAAATACTGCCACCAAAAATAACATACACACTAAATACAAACTAAAATATAAATCAATTATATGATTTATCCAACTGTACTCAGGCGTGTGCTTCAAGTTCTTATTAAATTCCGCATACTCTTCTGAACTGAAAAACGCTTCAAATCTACCCCCTCTTTCCAAAAAGACGCCGAGGCAATATGATGTCGATTTAAATAATGTTTCATAATAAGGTATATAAAAAGAACCATTGGCAAAAATTTTATAATCGTACTGATGATCGGGTACCACGTAACATTCCGATTCTAAGCACGTATTGTAGACGGTTAACTGAAAGAATTCGTTCACTCGCCCATTTTCGTTCTGCGTTGAATCGTTTGTGTATTTGTACACATTCGGAAAAACATATGTCATTTCTTTTGGAATACATTTGGTGTCATTCCATCTCATGATATTGCCAAAAGGACAGCAGAACTGAATACAAGTTATATTATGGCACGTTTCGTATGGGACGATGTTAATTTCATAACTATTCTTAGTGAAATTTTCAAAGACTTTATTCGACATGGAATCATTCATTTTAAGCAGGTTTTCATAAACCTTCTGTGACGTAGAGTTTTCTTTATGATTGACATTTGTCGAATTGTTGTGAAAGTGTTTCAATATTTTGTCATCATTCTCTTGATTGTGAGCAGAACGCCTTCTTAATTTATGTAGTATCGAATCAACATCTTTGCGATCGATATTCGTGGAAATAGTGCTAAATTCATATTTCATTTCGTTATGTTGCGTATTGTTGGTAAACCTTTCATACAAATCATATCGCAGTGGTTTTATTTCGTTACTATAAGTTGTTGTAGAATCCGCATATTTCTCGTATCGTATTGTCGAATGATGATCTTCATCTTTGTTGTTGGTGTAAGTTTGCTGAGATTCCGATGAAGAAATGATGAGGAGTAGAAGCCCGCAACACAGAAACGCGAAATTATGTACAAACATTATTTCACAAAGGATTCACTACAGAAATTAGATAGAGAAATCAATCAAATCTGTTGTTGCATTCATTATTTGTCATATAAATTTTAATTTTTAATGCTTAAAAAATGTATATTTATTTTGTGCCTAGTTTAGCTTTTGTATTTATTGAATGTAAGATATGTGTCAGGTTCGTAATATACATATGTGATAAAATTAAATTATTTTATCTTTTTTGCCTTTTTCTACAAATTTTAGAAATGTTGATCTCATTTTATATTAACACTGTAAATGTAGACGATTACGCATTTAACGTTTAATTATCACACTAGATTTAGTAAAATATTTATAATGTATCACTATATTCGGCTTTGACGTTTCTTCTTGAAGGAAAAGAATATTGCATAAATTAATACGTGTCTGAACGAGAGATAAAATAAAACTACTGAAGATTATGAGTCGTAGATAACTTTGCGAGGAAACACACACATACACACACCCACAGTCTGTCTACTATTATAAAATCATACACCTGTAACTTTTAATTATACAAGGAAAACAACAATGTCTTCTGAAACTTTAGATGTTAGTTTGTTCAATCCATTAGCAAATCCGCCTTCTAAAAAAGCATGTCATTATCGCTTTTCTATGATCTGGTTGACTGTCCAGATTCACGTTGTGCGCATAGAAGATATAATTTTGAATGTAATTGTGTTACAAAAATATCAGATTAGAGTATAAATAAGACAATTTAAAATTAATAAACTCAAAATAAAAATATAGAATGATGAATGCGTGTGTATTTTCGGTGTTATGTGTTACTATGATTAAAGTATTAACTGTTATGCAACAAACTAATAAGATTCTGAGACTACGATTATATTATGAGATCATTGCGGAAATTTTTCTATAATTTTCTTGTGTTTGCAAACGCTTACCAGTAATTGTGTGTGCGAAGTATATTTATTACCGTATAGTAAGATTTCACAATTATTGAGTATAAATTATACAGATGTTGTTGAAAAAGAATTTATTCGAAAATCATTTATTTAATTTAAAAATATAATGATACAAACGTTTCGCAGTCTTTATTAGTGCTGGCATATATTACTAATAACAATTTAACATTAAACAAATAATCATGCAAACGGCTAATTTATTAAGAATAAAATTAAGTGTGAAAATGAAGAGAGGATTCTTTACTGTGACAATTTTCGCTATATCAAACCGTGAATTATTTAGAAATATTTTGTCTGCCTTTGCTCAAAAGTAGTTTACTTGAGGTGGAATGCTCTTTTATTTCCGTCGTTTGAAAGCGTGGAATCGACTGAGATTTTGCTATATGTAATTGCTTATATGTAATTCACTATGTTGGAATAAACAATTTTTTTACCATGACATTACCATGTTTTTACGAAATAAATATTAAAATTACTCTTTTACATGTCGTTGAACTTGGCGCCCGAAAAAAATAATTTTTGCAATATTCGACGTAATGACGTCGCGTTCAGCGCGTTCAGCCAACATAATTATATTTTCTTGAAATTAAAATTTGTTGAAAATAAAATATGTTCTTTCTTCATTGCATATAATTGACAATAATAATTATACATGTTAAATATCAATTTATTATAAATATACAAAATAATACTGTTCTTCTTAACTTAGTATTTCATGTGCAAGTCATGTGTGTCACATTATTTAAGCTTACAACATAAAGTTATAATTGTTTCTTACATATCAAATACATTTCTGCACCTTATCATTATTAGATATTCTGCACTTTATAATGCAGAAATATTTATATACAGATTCGAAAATTTACTAGGAAGTGCATAATATATGTTATAATAAAATATTCTTAGAATCGAATGTGAATGTTTGTGTATATAAATATATATTGTATAAACGCGATTTTGACAAAGCTCAGCTACACTAAACACCTATTTGAAAAAAATACTATTTTTAAACAATATAAATACATTTAACACAGTCGCATTTGAAAATAATCGTAATTTATTTGTATGGACCATGTCAGTATGAAACAAACTTTAATTTCTCTTTATATACTTACATTTATTCATAAATATATAATATATTTTCATTTGAATTAGAATACTTTTTTAGAATAATATAGCACAATACAATGTATATGGTAGCTTTCATACAAAATTAGTTTTTGAAGAAAATTGTTTACAAATTTAATTTAACTCCATTAATTTGACTTAATTATTTGCACCGATAAAACAAATTTTTCTTTTGAAAATTTAAAAATTAAATTCTTAAAAAAAACCTAAACATCACGTAAAATATAATATTGTGAATTTACTTTCAATTGTAATTATAAAATATATTAAATTGTGATTAATCGTTGATCTTTGATCTGCGATAAAACTTTTCTTTACACACTGACAACATTAGAATTCAATCCCATTAGATGAATCTTTCGTGTGACAGTTTTCTTCTCCGCAAGAGTTCGACATTTCCTGCATAGATACCTCCAATGTGATATTCGATGTGTTAGTCGATGCATTCGTCTTAAATCCGAATCGTTTTAGTAACATCAACTTGTTTTTTTTTTTCCATACAAATATGATAAACATGAAGAAATTTTGTACTACACCTAACAAGGCACTAACAATTTCAGTGTAATAACTATATTTATATAATTGTGTTGTAAATAACAATCTTGAAATTATATACATTATCCAATTTATACCCATAATGATAAAAAACACGATAAATAACTTTATATATAGATTTAACCTGCAAACAAGTATATATTAATATTTGGTCATTTTTCAATAAAAATAACAAATTCTATCTATCAAATTATTAAGTTGAAAAATAATGGAACCAATTGCAATTCTTAAAAGGGGGAAATGAGAAAAAGATTTTTATAGAAATACTTCAAAAATGTAATTTTTTAATGTAATAAATATATATTCGTTTATACTCTCTCCTTACGACATTTCGAGTATTACAGATTTTTTAAAAAAGTCTCAATGCAAGTTACAGAAACAAATGTTTCTTTTTCTCTTATAGATTTATTACACAATAGAAGATATAAAAAAGAAAAGTATAAGCACAGTGAAAAAAGTATATATGTATATATATATATATATATATATATATATATATATATATATCTTTTGCAATTATAATTATCTCCCCCTTTTACCAGGAATGCGAATCAAGCAAGTATGTGATGTCGGCAGAGATATTGACAAAAATATATCTGCAGAAATTTCATTAACATAATAAAAAATTATCACAGAGTGACGCAAAATGTGAGAATACACACCATCTCTTATTGTCATTAAATTGCTTGCTTTCCGAATCTGTTAGACTGAAGTTTGTATCCCTTTCGAAATGTTTGATGTTCCTTGCCGTAAAAATGGATAAGCAAATGCTACTAATAACACAGACAGTTTTGATCGAATAATAATACAACATAAACGCTTCAAAACCTGTAAGTATGATATCTCATATACTATTACATATTTTATAAATGCGTAGCATTTAATAAAGTTATCTGAGACGTACGTTCCGTAAAGTACCAGCAATACCCCTTTTTGAATTCTGGTCTCAAAATTATTGGTATATACTCGGAAACATAATCCACAACGATTACACAAATAATAGCAAGTACAAACGGACATCCGTACGCAAAAATAGCATAATATACCAACTTTTTTTTTTCTGATTGTCTGCTGTTTCTTTGTAACAAAGTGAATCTTCTGCAAAAATTTAGGTATATATTATATTTAATTATATAAGTGTAGATATAAAGGAAATCTCAATGTAAAATGTTAATATTCGACTTTGATCGAAGCTTTTTTGAAAACCCATTTTACATAATTATAAAAGTTTATTTATATAATACGACATGTGACACTCAATTATGATGAGAAATATAACATTGTAGTCATTTAGAAACTATTATATATTTACATAGATATTCTACAAACAAAGATAATTTAAATTTTTATAAGTTTTTTAGGGGCAAAATATATATTTATGTTAAAAAATTATTTTGTATTACTTTATTATACATAAAAAAGATTAACGCAATAATATCAAGCTTGTAAAATGGAAAAAAAGATTTACAGAAAAGTTTGTTTTATTATGGTAAATTAGTTTTTGTTGTAATATTTTATAAATATTTTATAAATTAAATAAATAATGTATATAATTTAATATATATGCCATTTCTAATTTCAACAAATTTAAGTTATTTTGACAAAATTTTTGGTATATTTTATACTATAAAACAATTATGTAAAGACAAATAAAAATCAGGAGCTAAGAACTAAAGTAAAATATAAAATATTTGGCTATTTACCTGAATGTCCGCCACATATTAAAGCTCATAATACTTAGCCAGAAGTAACCCGATATAAGACAAAAATATCCTAAAAAGGCTGAAAAATGAAGAGAAATAAAAACTACAATAATAAATATCATTTTCATCACTAAGCGCGCGTGAAATGGAAATAATCGAAAGTTTGACGTTTTTTATTCTTCACTTTAAAACAGATTTACTACATTCTGCACCAATAGTTTATAACAATATTTATTTATTATTATGAATACTGATACTATTGATATTAAATTAAATAATATTTTAAGACGTAACACTGCAATATTCTAAAACGCAAATTTTATATATATATATATATATATATATATATGTGTATGTATGTATGTATTTATATATATGTAGAGACAAACTCAGGTTAGTTAAATAAAATAAATTAAATTTTAGTTTAATTCATTATTGACAGTTGTATTTTAACAAGCGACATATATATATATATATATATATATATATATATATATGTATATATATATATTCAAATAATGAAGAAGTTATATATGCCAATATGCGGATATACATTATGCTTTACAAATATGTTCTATGCATTAATTTTATATATTTATGTAATTTATTGTTAGATATACTGTACCAATTGTAATACAGACGGGATATGAAACATCCTCTTTCATATTTGAAAGTCTCACAATATCAATCATCAATGCGATGGATGTAACTGCACTGTAATTGCGCAACATGAAGCCGTGTTCATTTCGGAGTCCTGGCAATATAGAATACACTAGAAATACTGCCACCAAAAATAATATACACACTAATAGCAAGCTGGAATATATATTTAATACACGTGTTATCCAACTGTACTCAGGCGTGTACTTCAAAGCGTTCCTTTTAAGTTCCGCATACTGTTCTGAACTGAAAATCGCTTCAAATCTACGCCCTCTTTCCAAGATGACGCCGAGGCAATATGATGCCGATTTAAATAATGTTACATAATAAGGTACATAAAAAGAACCATTGGCAAAAATTTTATAATCGTACTGATGACCGATGGGTACCACGTAACATCGCGATTCTAAGCACTTATTGTAGACGGTTAATTGAAAGAATTTGTTCACTCGCCCACTTTCGTTGTGCGTTGAATCGTTTGTGTATTCGTACACATTTGGAAAAACATATTTCATTTCTTCTGGAATACATTTGGTGTCATTCCATCTCATGATATTGCCAAAGGACAGCAGAACTGAATACAAGTTATATTATGGCACGTTTCGTATGGGACGATGTTACTTTCATAACTATTCTTAGTGAAATTTTCAAAGACTTTATTCGACATGGAATCATTCATTTTAAGCAGGTTTTCATAAACCTTCTGTGACGTAGAGTTTTCTTTATGATTGACATTTGTCGAATTGTTGTGAGAGTGTTTCAATATTTTGTCATCTTTCTCTTGATTGTGAGCAGAACGCCTTCTTAATTTATGTAGTATCGAATCAACATCTTCGCGATCGATATTCGTGAAAATAGTGCTAAATTTATATTCCATTTCGTTATATTGCGTATCGTCGGTAAACCTTTCATACAAATCATATCGCAGTGGTTTTATCTCGTCGCTATAAATTGTTGTAGAATCCGCATATATTTTGTATCGTACTGTCAAATTATGACGTTCATCTTCGTTGTTGGTGTAATTTTGCTGAGATTTCGATGACGAAATGATGAGGAGAAAAAGCTCACAACACAGAACCGCGAAATTTCGTACAAACATTATTTCTAAAAAGGATACACCAGAGGAATTAGATAATCAAATCTGTCAAACCTGTTAGTACACTACTTCTTATATAAATTTTAATTTTTAATTATTAAAAAAATCTATATTAATTTTGTGCCTACTTTAGCTTTTGTATTAATTAAATAAAATATGTGTTATTAAGTGCGTAATGTACACATATAATAGAATTAAATTATTTTTTCCATTTTGTATTTCTCTAGAAAATCAAGAAATATTGATCTGAAATTAATCTTACCTTGTAAATGTTGACAATTATGCGGTTAATTTTAATTATTTCGCTATATTTAGTAAAACATAATGTAACACTATATTCGGCGTTGACGTTTCTTTCTTGAATAAAGAGGTTTATCGCATAAGTAATACACGTGCCTGTACGGGAAAGGCAATGAAATCGACGATCACTAGTCGTAGATAACTTTGCGGAAAAACACGCACACACACATACACACTGACAAACGCGCGCGCACATACACACACACACACAGTCTGTCTACTATTATAAAATTATACATCTGTAACTCTTACACATACAAAGAAAACAAAAACGTATTCTGAAACTTCTGATGTTAGTTTGATCAATCCATTAGCGAATCCGTTTTCTAAAAAGCATGTCATTATCGCTTTTCTATGATGCTGATTGACTGTCCAGATTCACGTTGTGCGCATAGAAGATATAATTTTGAATGTAATTGTGTTACAAAAATATAAGATTAGAGTATAAATAAGACAATTTAAAATTAATAAACTCAAAATAAAAATATAGAATGATGAATGCGTGTGTATTTTCGGTGTTATGTGTTACAATGATTAAAGTATTAACTGTTATGCAACAAACTAATAAGATTCTGAGACTACGATTATATTATGAGATCATTGCGGAAATTTTTCTATAATTTTCTTGTGTTTGCAAACGCTTACCAGTAATTGTGTGTGCGAAGTATATTTATTACCGTATAGTAAGATTTCACAATTATTGAGTATAAATTATACAGATGTTGTTGAAAAAGAATTTATTCGAAAATCATTTATTTAATTTAAAAGTATAATGATACAAACGTTTCGCAGTCTTTATCAGTGCTGGCATATATTACTAATAACAATTTAACGTTAAACAAATAATCATGCGAACGGCTAATTTATTAAGAATAAAATTCTGTATGAAGATGAAGAAGATTCTTTACTGCAACAATCATCGCTATATCAAACCGTGAATCATTCAGAAATATTTTGTCTGTCTTTTCTGAGTACCAGCAAGATCCTTCTACGAATTCTGGTCTTAAATTTTTTGGTAAATACTCGGAAAAATAATTCGCAAAATTGACACAAACAATTGCAAGCACAAATGGACATTCGTACCCAAAAATAGCATAATACACCAACTTTTTTTTGCCGGATTGTTTAATTCCTTTGACGTTCCTTTGTAGCGAAGAAAATTCTCTATAATTTACATGTATAATGTACATGTCACATTTACCTAAGTAAGTGTAGATAAAAGAAATCTCATTGTAAAAGGTTTAAATTAATGTTTGTTTCTGATCATTACATTGCATAATATTTAGAATCTATTATCAAATTACATAAATATTCTATGAAAAAAATTATTAAATTATTTAATATTTAGAGATAAAAAATATATTTATGTTAAAGATTATTGTTTATTGCTTTATTTTATTTATAAAGAAAGATCGACGCAATATAAATATCAAGTTTGAATAATGTAAAAGAAACGTTCCAGAAAAGTTTGTTTTATTATTGCAAAATAGATTACGTTGTAATAATTCATAAATATTTTTTATTTAAATAAATAATGTATATTATTTAATATATATATGCCATTTCTAATTTCAAAAAATTTAAGTTATTTGGACAAAATTTTTGGTATATTTAATACTATAAAGCAATTATAAAAAGACAAATTAAAATCAGAAACCAAGAACTAAAGTACAATATAAAATACTTGGCTATTTACGTAAGATTAGCAGGGCTACATTATTTTTGTTATTTACGAATGCTTGAGAGTTGGGTCGTATTATTTTACCATGGATTAGTGTGAAAATAGGATTACAACATATTTCAGATTCAGTTAAATCGGAGGGAATCATGTCTGGTGTTCTTCTCGTAATTAATAATTATGTAGAAAAACTAAAAGAAGAGATTAAGAACATTTCTGGTAGCTTTCCTGTAATGCCTGAAATTTAATTACAATTAAGAAGTATATTTGGTTCTCTCTCTCTCTCTTTCTCTCTCTTCTCTATTAATATAAAATAAATATAAATATGTAGGCTGACACAGCCGAACGCGATGTTGGTTATTGCGAAAATCAATTTAGCGCTACAATTAAATAATTATGTGTGAGCCATCAATGGAAATACAATTCCTAAGAAGTCTTGACACTGTACCAGCATATTCGTGCCTCGAGTACAATCATTGAATTGCAACAAAAGAAATAATGTTTACAATAATAAGACGCAACGACATCGCGTTCGGCTCGTTCAGCCACCATACATATATATATATATATATTTGTATAAAATTTAAATTTGTTAAAAATTAAATATGTTCTTCTTTCATTGCATATAATCGGCAATAATTGTCGTACATGTTAAATTGAAATTTATTGTAAAAATACAAAACAACACTTTTTTTTTTAACTTAGTATATGTACGTGTCATGTTACATTTTTTAAACTTATAATATAAATTTATAATTGTTTCTTACATATTAAATATATTTGTATACATAATCACTATTATATATTCTGCATTTTATAATGCAGAAATATTTATAAATTCGAAAATTTACTCTGAAGTATAATATTATAATACCATTAAAAATATTCTTATACTATCAAATAAATTACGAATATTTTTAAACGCAACAGTGTTAAATGTAATTATATTGTGTTAAATGTCTTGTAAAAATAGTATATTTAAAATACATTTAACACTAATTACATTTAACACTGTTGCGTTTAAAAATATTCGTAATTTATTTGTATGGACCATGTCATAAGTTGTAACAAATCTTACTTTCCCTTTATATATACATATCCGTTATGGAAATTTATTACTGATAAGTCTAAATAATCACTTATTTTGAGAGTACTTAAATTACTGATATACAGTAATTTAAGTAATTGAAATAAATTATTATTTAAACTTACTAGTGATAAATTTCCATAAGGGATATTTATATAAATGTATAATATAATTTTATTTGAAGCAGAAATCACACACACATTTTTATAATAATATATATACAGCATAATATATTGTATAGCTTTCGTAAAAGATTATTTTTTAACAAAAAATGTTTACTAAATTTAAACCATTAATTTGAAATAATTACATGCACCGCGATAAGACAAATTTTCTATGTAAAATTTTTAATTAAATCCTTCAAAGAAACATAAACATCACGTAAAATATAACATTGTAACTTTCAATTTTATAAGATTACATTTAATTGCGATTAATCGTTGATATTTGATCTGTGATAAAACTCTTTTCTTTACATACTGACAACAGTAAAATTCAATTTCATTAGATGAGTTTTTCGCGTGACAAATCTTTTTCCGCAAAAGTTTGCCTTTTCCTGCATAGATTCCTCAAAAGTGGTATTCAAGTCGATGTATTTGTCTTGAATCCGAATCGTTTCAATAACATCGACTTGATTTTCTTTTTCCATACAAATATGATAAAAATGAAGAAATTCTCTGTTACAGTTAACAAAGCAATAGCAATATTAATGCAAGAACTATATTTACTTAATTGCGCTGTATATAAGTACCATGCAACTGTATACAAAGTCCAATTTATACCCATAGTGATAAACAACATGATAAAAAACTTTATATATAGATTAAACCTGCAAAAAAATATATATTAATATTTAGTCATTTTCGAAAAAAATAACAAATTTTATGTGTCAAATTATTAAACTGAAAGTAGTAGAACAAATTGCACTTTTTCAAAAGGGGAAATGAAAAAAAGTTATTTAAAGAAATACTTCATAAATGTAATTATTCATGTATTAAATATATATTTGTTCATTTTCACTCTTTATGACATTTCGAGAATTACACACGTTTCCGAAAACACTCAATGCAAGTTACAGAAGTAACTGTTTTTTTTCTCTAATAGATTATGTTATTACAAAATAAAAGGAAAAAAGATAATAATAAAGGAATAAAGATAAGGAAAAAAAGAGACAAGAATGAGCACAGTTAAAATGTATTGTTTTCAAAAAATCATATCTCTCTTTTATCTGGAATGCGAATTAAGCGAGTATGTGATGTTGTCGGCAAAGATGTTCACAAAAATATTTTTACAAAAATCTCACTAACATAGAATAAAAGTTTATCACAGAGTGATGCAAAAATGTAAGATTACTCACCATTTCTTATTTTCATTATATTGCCTGCTTTCCGAATCTGTTAGACGAAAATTTGCATCCTTTTCACACTGTTTGATGTTTCGAGACGAAGAAATGGATAAGCAAATGCTACTAATAGTACAGACAGTAATGATCCAGTAATAATACAATATAAACGGTTCGACATCTGTAAGTATGATATCTTATATACTGTTACATACTTTTAAATTACGTAGCATTAATAAAATTATCTGAAGCGTACGTTGACTAGAGTACCAGCAAGATCCTCTTACGAATTCTGGTCTCAAATTTTTTGGTAAATACTCGGCAACATAATCCGCAACGATGACACAAACAATTGCAAGTACAAATGAACATCCATACGCAAAAATAGCATAATACACCAACCTTTTGTTTCTTGATTGTTTAATTCCTTTGACGTTTCTTTGTAACGAAGAGAATTCTCTGCAATTTACATGTATAATGTATATGTCATATTTATTTAAGTAAGTGTAGATAAAAAAAATCTCATTGTAAAAGGTTTAAATTATTGTTTGCCTTTGATCATTACATTGTATAATATTTAGAAACTATTAATTAATTACATAATTATTCTATAAAAAATAATTAAAATTATTTAACAATTAGAGATAAAAAATATATTTATATTAAAAAATTATCGTTTATTGCTTTATTTTATTCATAAAGAAAGATCGACGATAAATATCAAGTTTGAATAATGAAAAAAAAAATTCCAGAAAAGTTTGTTTCATTATTGCGAAATAGATTACGTTGTAATAATTCATAAATATTTTTTAATTTAAATAAATAATGTATATTATTTAATATATATGCCATTTCTAATTTCAACAAATTTAAGTTATTTTAACAAAATTTCTGGTATATTTAATACCATATAACAATTATGTAAAGACAAGTTAAAATCAGAAGCCGAGAACTAAAGTACAATATAAAATACTTGACTATTTACCTGAATGTCCGCCACATATTAAAGCTCATGATACTTAGCCAGAAGTAACACGACATAAACCAAAAATATGTCAAAAAGCCTGAAATATGAATATATGTAAAGGCTACAATAATAAATATCATTATCTTCACTATGTGCGCGTGAAAATGGAAAAAAATTGCAAGTTTCAAGTTTTTTATTCTCCACATCTAAGCAAATTTATGTATTATATTCTGCACCAAAAATTTATAACAATATTTATTTATTATTCTAAATACTGATAGTATACCGATATTAAATTAAATAATATTTTAAGACATAACACTGCGAAATTCTAAAACAAAAAATATATATATATATATATGTTAGGGCAAACTCAGATTAGTTATAATTAAAATGCATTAAATTTTAGTTTAATTCATTATTGACAGTTGTATTTTAACAAGTGTTATATATATTTAAATAATTAAGAAAATGTATACTAATATGCGGATATATATTATGCTTGACAAATATGTTCTGCTTTGATTTTATATATATTAGTAATATATTGTTAGATATACTGTACCAATTGTAATACAGACGGGATATGACAGATTCTCTTTCAAATGTAAAACTCTCACTATATCAATCACGAATGCGATGAATAAACATGCACAGTAATTGCGCAACATGAAGCCGTGTTCATTTCGGAGTTCTGGCAATATGGAATACACTAGAATTACTACCACCAAAAATAATAGACACGCTATATTCAAGATGGAATAAATAGTTATTATACGATTTATCCAGCGAAACTCAGGTGAGTAGTTCAAAGCGTTTCTGTAAAAATCCTTAATTAGGTCTAAACAGTAAGTCACTTCAAACTTATTCCCCCTTTCCAAAAAGATGGTGAGGCAATATGATGTCGAATATGTCGAATCAATTAATGTTGCATAATAAGGGATATAAATAGAACCATTGGCAAAAACCTTATAATCGTACTGATGACCGTCGGGTACTACGGAATGCTTATCTAAGCACGGATCGTAGATGGCAAACTGAAATAATTCGTCCACTCGCTTACTATCGTTCTGTGTTGAATCGTTCGTGTATTCGTACACATTTGGAAAAACATATTTCATTTCTTTTGGAATACATTTGAAGTCATTCCGTCTCATGACATTGCCAAGAGGACAGCAGAGCTGAATGCAAGTGTTATTATGACACATTTGGAATGAGACGATGTTGCTTTCATTAATACCCTTATTGGAATTTTCAAAGATTGTATTCGACATGGAATTATTCTTTTCAAGCAAGTTGTCATAAACCTCCAGTGACGTAGAGTTTTCTTCATGATCGACATTTGTTGAATTGATGTGAGAGTACATCAGTTTGTCATCATTTTCATGGTTGTGAGCAGAACGCCTTCTTAGTTTAGATAGTTTTGAATCAACACCCTCTCGATCGATATTTGTGGAAATAGTGCTAAATTCATATTTCATTTCGTTATGTTGCGCATTGTTGGTAAACCTTTTATACAAATCATATCGCAGTGGTTTTATCTCGTTGCTATAAGTTGTTGTAGAATCCGCATATTTCTCGTATCGTATTGTCGAATGATGATTTTTATCTTTGTTGTTGGTGTAATTTTGCTGAGCTTTCGATGCCGAAATGATGAGGAGTAAAAGCCCGCAACACAGAAACGCGAAATTTTGTATAAACATTATTTCACAAAAGATTCACTACAAAAATTAGATAGCGAAATTAATTAAACCTGTTGCTACATTCATTATTTCTCATATAAATTTTAATTTTTAATACTTAAAAAATGTATATTTATGTTGTGCCTAGTTTAGCTTTTGTATTTATTGAATGAAAGATATGTGTCAAGTGCGTAATGTACACATATAATGGAATTAAATTATCTTTTTTTTGTCTTTCTCTAGAAAATTTAGAAATGTTGATCTGATTTTTGTAAACAATTACGCGGTTAATTTTTAATTATTACACCAGATTTAGTAAAATATTTATAATGTATCATTATGTATCTATATTTACTATATTCGGTTTGACGTTTCTTCTTGAAGGAACAAATATTGCATAAGTTAATACGTGTCTGAACGAGAGATAAAATGAAACTACCGAGGATTATGAGTCGTAGATAACTTTGCGAGGACACACAAACACACACACAATCTGTCTACAATTATAAAATCATACATCTATTACTCATAATTATTCAAGGAATACAATAAACGTATGTTGACAAATCTTACGTTATTCGATTCAGCATTCCTGCTAGATTGATTAAATTAATAATGTATATGTTCATTGTTTTTTTTGTATAATATAATTACAAGTAATAGGTGTATGATTTTATATTTGTAGATCCGCCGTTCTAAAAAAAGCATGTTATTGATATTGTTGTCGCTTTTCCGTGATTGACAGTCTCGATTCACGTTGTGCGCATATGTTAAACATAATTTTGAATCTAATTGTATTACAAAAATATAAGATTAGAATATAAATAATGATAATTTAAAATTGATAAACACACTGAGAAAAAAATAATGTTCAGCCAAAAGAAATTTTTTAAATTTAACTAAATGCAGCGGTCACGGGCTGTCAAATAAATATTTGTCAATATGAAAAAATATTATGTTTCAAATTCAGCGCCTTATTTAACAATACTGCAGTGTATTTGATATTGATGACAAATATATCGATATCCTCTATATAATTTCGGAATATATTGTTGCCTCTTTTTTACGACATCGATTAATTCTATCTTTGCGCTTACTTCGTGAGCAAATGTCAATATTAATTTTGTGATTCAGTAATTTCGATTACAGTATTTCAGATAGAAAAAAGTACAATACTATACCTACTTTATTTTATAAAATAGATAAAAATTGAAATTTAACGAAAAGTTAATATATTATAACGTATTATATGTATATTATATATATATATATATATATAATAATATATATATATATTAATATATATATATATTACTATTTAATCATTTTAATAAATTATATAATATTTCAAAATTAAATTAGTAAATTAATTTATTAGTTTTATTATTAGTTAAAATTTTAAACAATTAATTATAATTTTTCATAATAATATGTTACAAAAGTAAAAGGAGTATGTTTTAATAACATACTATTTACAACATATTACTCTCTCAATATTTTTATATATTATTATTTGCATATTAAATTATTAAATTATTAAAGCTTGAATTTGTAGATTTCGTATATAGATTTTTACAAGATTGTCCTTTGCATTTTTGTCGTAGAATGCTGCTTTTGAGATAAAGAAAAACGATTTAAATGGAGATATCTCCGAAATGGTGAATCTTACGCAAATGGGTCAAAGGGTGAACCTGTAGATCACGTCGATTTCTACAAGATTGTTCTTTGCACATTTGCCGTAGGCTGCTGCTTTTTCAAGATAAAAAAGGAAAACGATTTAAACGGCAATATTTCCAAAATGGTGAATCTCACGCTGATAAGTCAAAAAGTAAACTTGTAGATCTCGTTGATGTCTACAAGATTACTCTTTGCACCATTGTGTAGAATACTGCTTTTTCGAGATAAAAAATGATTTAAGCGAAAATATCTCCGAAAAAGTAAATCATACGCAGATTGCGCAAAAGGTGAACTTGTACAACTCGTCGAGCTCTACAAGATTACCCCTTGCAATTAAGCAAGGATAAAATATTATAAAATGTTATTATTTTAAAATTTAATTAGAAAACGCTTTATTAATATTCCTTAACTTAAGTCAGTTGATTAAAGAGTCAATTTGCTAATTAAATTTTGAAATATTATTATATTAAAAATATTAAGATAGTAATATGTGGTAAATTGTATATAAAATTAATAAAAATTTGTAAGCTGAAAGACCATCAATCGAGGATTTATTTAGTACAATAAAAATAGCATATGGTTTTATTGATAAAACTATTTTAAATTATTATTAAAAAAAAAGTTTCTCTTATTAATCATTTTTATAAATACATCAATCATTCTTCTTTTTCGTATATTTAATTTATTTTTATGCCACCGATAAAAGAATTTTAGTTACAAAAATTGAACTTAAGATTTATTTGGGAATTAATTGAGTATACATTTTTAATTGCATTCACATTATGCAGTAGCATAATAATTAATCAGAGATTGTTCCCATCATTATGTACATTTTTACTTAAGAGATTTTTATCTATCATTATTTCTTTCTCCTTTTCTTATAAAAATGAAAATAATAAATATTTTATATATAAATATATTAAATATTGAAATTTATATATAGAATATTGTATCGAAATATTATATTAAAATATTAAATACTTTAATATTATATAAATATTATTTAATATTATATTAATATTTTATATATATTGTATATGTATATATATATATATATATATATATATATATATATATATATATATATACATTCGAGTAAACAATTATAGGCAGCGAAAGTTAATAAAACGCACGTAATGTGATTATTTTATAGCATTTTCGGCAACATAATCTATTGAGAAAATATACATAAGTAATTTTGTTGAAGAAGCGTATTATTCTAGCAATTGCACGATGATCATAACATGTTAAAGAAAAATGATTCCGTCAAATTACGTAGCTTTACCCACGTTTAGCAAATAGTGAATGGACGCTATCAGACGGTTTGTTCTGCTCGGTAGAGCATAGTGCTTTAGGAGAATGATTCTTTTCCAATGTCCCTTGATTATACGAAGCAAACGCCATCGTTCTGCGATCTTGGCTCACTTTTATTGTCGGAAGTCGAACTCGAAAGCGCGCCTCTCTTCCTTACGCGAGAGAGATAGTCTAGTAAAATTAGACTTGAAAAGGGCTAAACTTCATAAAAATTACGATCAAGCTAAATTTTTCGAGACCTTTATTTCGATGTTCTAATAAAATCCTGAAAAGTCCCCTTAATTTTATTCAGGGCGTTTTTTTATGGAGAATAAATTTTAGTTTTTTGCCATTATCTCGAAAATTTTCAATTTGTCGAGAAAAATAACTATTATCAAAATTATAGCTCATAAAATTCTTTACAAAAAAGTCTTTATATTTTTTTTCGTACAACTAATGTTTATAGTTCGTAAAAAATACGAACCCTTTTCACACCACCGTGAGGACAGAGTACTGAGCATGCTTTTTCGCTCTATATCTTCGAAATGGTTAATTCCACGAAAGAAAGTATAATGATCTTTCTTGTAGGGAATTTTATAAGCTACAATTTTGATAGTAACTATTTTTTCGAAAAATTGATAGTTTTTGAAATAATAACAAAAAACTAAAATTTACCCTCTTTTACCTCTCATAAAAAAAACACCCTTGATGAAATTAAAGGAGATTTTTCAGAATTTCATTAGATCATCGAAATAAAGGTCTCCGCAAAAATTTAGCTCGATCGTAATGTTTATAAAGTCAAAGTCTAGTTTTACAGGACTAAGAGTTTATTTCGCGTTTCTTGGCTCTCGCCGCGTGTACGTACTTATATGCCATGTTCTGAATACAAATCGCGGTGTTTCCTTGCGCGAGCTCCGCCAAGAGCTCGCGCGCGATCATTATCATTAATGAAGAAGCTGCAGAGCGAGAGAGAGAGAGAGAGAGCGAGATGTCGGAGACGCTCCTTCTAGCATCTTCCCAGACGCACAACTCACCCGCGATGACCGAGACGGTGGCTCCCGAGGCCGACACACAGTGCAATGCGGGATTATTCCCGCCGGATATATACAAACCTCTCCGTCCATATTCAGCGATTTACAATTTTTATACTCGCGCGCGTCCCTCGGGAAACGTCGCCGTATAGCGTGTCGTTGAACCCCGAGAAAGGTCAACGGAGGAGAGTGCCGAAGTTTCGGCGAGAGGGATGTTTTATTTAGGCGACCCTCCACCTTCTTCTCTTCGTAGCGTAGCGAATTGGACTTCATGGAATCGCATGTAAATTAGTTATCGAATAACGTCGGATTTTCTTGTAGGATTCTTGAAGGATTTCGTCTGATTTGGCGCGGGAGATTTAAATGAGGAGGACGGATAATTTTGGATCCTAGACTGAGAGAGAGAGAGAGAGAGAGAGAGAGAGAGAGGACAAACCTGAATTATGAATCGTTCGTTCCCCGTGATTTTTTAGTTATGAATGGTGCATGTAAATATGGCGCGAATGCATAATAAAACAGCTGTGCGAGGACAAACTCGCGCCACGAGAACGTCGGTGTCATTTATTTTATATAGAAATGTGTTTGCGTCGCGTAATAAAACTGCGAGATTAAAACGTCGCTTCAAGTCACAACTCGAGGCACCCTCTCGCCACCCCTGTCTTTAATTACGTTTAAATCAGAATCAAAGTACGTCCAACGAAGGCAAAATTGTAAAACGCTCTGTATATGTGCGGAATTAATTTTATATTACATGCATTTTGTATATATATATATATATATATATATATATATATATATATATATCTCCGCGTATATACAGGGTGTCCCAAAATTAGTGGACCATCTATAATAGGAGATTCCTATAATTATTTAGAGACGATTTTTTCTCAGCAAAAATGTCCAGAGGAAGGTTATTTTTTACAAGTTTTCAATTTTTGTCAGCGTGTATATCTTATTAACTATGCTTCAAATTAAAATTCTATTAAAAAACTCGACTTGAAATTAATTGTAGAATCTGGTTTTATTGATATTTTATTTCTGAAAAGTCTGGTTTTTTTTTTGTGAAAAATTCTTTATTTTCAATCTTATTATAACATCAGTGTTGTGTTTGGATAATTTTTTAAAATTATAGCTAGATAAAGATGAGATAAAAATATGTAAATTTATCTTAGACAGGATAAAGATGGTTTTGTTTTAAATATATATCTAGATAAAAGATAATGTATATTATATGACAATTTATCTACTTAACTTCTAGATAATATTACTTTTAAGATCGCTTATATAAACACAGTTATAAAAAAATGTAAATTGTAAAAAGGATTTAAAAATATATACATACATATCA